TGCGATGCGTATAGTCCTCAATGCTCTTCGCCATGTCGTAGTTGATGACAAGGCTGACATTTCGAATGTCAATACCGCGACCGGCGACGTCGGTGGCCACCAAGATGTCCTTCGCCCCGGACTTGAGGCTGGCCAGGGCGTACTCTCGCTGCTCCTGGCCCTTGCCGCCGTGCAGCGTGCAGGCGTTGAAGCCGACCTTCTCCAGCGACTTGGCCAGCACGTCGGCGCCCTTCTTCTTGTTCACGAAGATAATGACCGGCGGCTCGACGCCCTTCTGGAGAATGTCAATCAATTTGCGGCGCTTCTCACCCTCCGAGACGAGGTACACGAGCTGCTCGACGCGCTCCACCGGCCGTCCCACGGAGCCGATGTAGACGACGGCTGGGCGGCGAAGGTAATNTTGCCGGTAACGGGTGACCGAGGTTGAGGCTTCGCCAGAAGGTTTCGCCAGCAGTCGTCCTGGATCCTCTGCTTCCTCCGTGTCCGGCTTCAGATTGGTGACGGGCATGTGGTCGAGGATCTTCTGCACGTCCGCCTCGAAGCCCATGTCGATCATGCGGTCGGCCTCGTCGAGGACAATGTAGGTGCAGCGACTCAGAACCAGGTAGCGGTTCTCGAGAACGTCAATCAGGCGGCCCGGTGTGGCGATGACGATCTCCACGCCGAGGCGCACCTTGAAGCCCTGGTCCTCGCGGCTGATGCCGCCGATGATGGCCACGGTGCGAATGTCCAGCGCCGAGGCGAACTTCATCGTCTCCTCCTCGATCTGCTGCGCCAGTTCACGGGTGGGCGCGAGGATGATAGCGTAGGGGCCCTGGTCGATCTCCTCCTGGCGTTCGATTTTAGGGAGGGAGGTGATCCAAACGAGGAGGGGAATGAGGAAGGCGAGGGTTTTGCCGGAGCCCGTTTCGGCGACGCCGATGATGTCGCGGTTCTGCAGGCCGATTGGAATGGCCTGCCGCTGGATGGGCGTCGGCTCCTTGTAGCCGCACTTGGTGATGATGTCCATGATGGAGGAGGGGAGGTTGGCGATCTCCTCCCAGCTGCGAAGGGGGTTGGGAATGCGACCGCCTAAAGAGGGGAAAAAATTAAGGTTAGCCGTTTAGAACACAAAAAAGTTTTAAACTGTACCTTTGAGTGAGATATTGTAGTCCTCGCGGAAGATGCGCCAGTCGCGCTCGGTCATCTCCGCCA